TTTACATGCAGATCATGTATGTCTAAGTGATGCGTATTTACATGCAGATCATGTATGGCTAAGCGATGCGTATTTACATACAGATCATGTATGGCTAAGTGATGCGTATTTACATGCAGATCATGTATGTCTAAGTGATGCGTGTTTACATGCAGATCATGTATGTCTAAGTGATGCGTGTTTACATGCAGATCATGAATGTCTAAGTGATGCGTGTTTACATGCAGATCATGTATGGCTAAGTGATGCGTATTTACATGCAGATCATGTGTGGCTTAGTGATGCGTAGTTACATGCAGATCATGTATGTCTTAGTGATGCGTATTTACATGCAGATCATGTATGGCTAAGTGATGCGTATTTACATGCAGATCATGTGTGGCTAAGTGATGCGTATTTACATGCAGATCATGTATGTTTAAGTGATGCCAGACATTTTTTTTTGAAGATTCAACGATTTGAAAGTATATTTTGCATGAAAGATATCCATAACCAATTATGATCGGATGTGCTGTCATGTTCTTTCTGAATACTAGTAATTTAAGATTGTATCTCTTTTTTCTTCTTCTACTAGTCCTTCGGTGCAAATACTATCATTTAATTAAGTATACGTATATTGGAATGAGAAAATTACTTAAAATATAATTTTAAAAATGTGTTTACAAAGAATCCTTAACTGCGATTGACGTGTATCTTTTCTCTCAGCACGTGCAGAAAATACCATTCTGTGCTACTTCAGTTTTACCTCTCGCAGCCTTTTGCCTTTGAATATTTTGTATTGAGATCAACAAAAGAATGGAATTTCAAGCTTCCTGTCGAGGCTGCCCAAACCCACATTACATACACAATGTATCTATTTGACCATATCCCACATGGAGAGAGAGAGAGAGTGAGATACATCTAATGTCAATGTTAGCACACAGTTTGTTTGGTCATTGTCATTAACGTTGTCTTCAGTGAGATCAGAGGCATCGTCATCATCTTTGTCATCAATGTTGTTCTCATTTATCACCCTCTTATCTACATGGATGATGTCATGTTATAAAGTACAACGAGATATTCAACCTGATTGTTGTTTCGTTAGGGCTCAGCTTGCCACATCAAATGTCATCCAACATTTTCTAGTGCATCATTCATGACCTAATTATTTTATTTCTATAAAGGGTGTCCATGCTTGCTTCAAACAATGAACCCTCTAACAATGAACGTTGAATACTTGCAAAGTGTAACTGAGTGTGTCCATATCAGTGTGTGCAATAGCATGGTGTATGGAACGAGTGTGTTACGTCATCGCATACGTTGTTACACTTGGTCTTCCAGTTGAGAATTGGTCTTAGGGAGTTGTATACATATAAGTGAAACGTTGCTATGATATGTTGTTCTATCTGTGAGACAATGTTTTGAATGTTAATTTCCTGTACTCAGCTCAAGCTGTATGGCAGCAACCTGTACACGATGCAGTCTGGACAAACTAGTTCTAATCAAGAATCAGGTCCATACTTTGGATCAATATGGACAATCCTTGGTCTTCTGACATGATCAAATGTGAATTCTTGAAATTCAGGATATATATGATAACACGTGGAAAATAGTATATATTGGAACAGACAAAAACAACCCAACTCAGGTCACCATGACACAAATCTCGAAGACCGAATTCCATTCACGAATCTAATCTTCGTCCTTTTTCTCTAAATGAGTGACACGGAATCGTTGTGTATTATGAGAATATGTCAAACTGTCCATGTTAATCTGCACCTGACCTGACAAAATTGTCATGAAGGATGATGAACCACAAACGCCATTGAGGCCCTATGACATATCAGGCAGCCTTGTGACAGAGCCTGGCCAACCAATGCAGCTGAGCCTACTCTTAAGAAATGCATAGGTTACTGGGTTCCAAGTCTTACTTGGAGTCCTCTTGGAGGTTTCATAAGGTGGATTGTCTATTTCTATCATAGATCCAAAAATACTTGTAAATTTGTCTTTAGTTATTAGACATAGACGATGTAACATGCTTATGCTGCTTCCTGACTTTGAAGTCATCGGATGGGAACAGAAATGATAAATTGTGGAAATGTCCACATGCTTTATTCCCCAAACGGTTCAACTTACAGACAAATACCTCAACGAGTTCTCCACAGGAAGCGCTTACACTTCGACAAAGGCCAGGAAAGATTGCCAGAAAAGTCGCCTCGTCCTTTGATGCATCTCGCCGATCCTACTGTATGCCCGGAGCAGCCAGATAATGTAATGTTATAATGTAGATAGGGAAGTTAAACCTCAATGATGTTCCGATAGGGTTGTCTGAAAACATCACCGTCAATGTCAGCACAACATTCGTTAGTTATTATAAACAGTCTATTATTAGATGTAAGACACACAAAGATACATTTACAGTAAAATATTTGAAAATATCAATGCCAATGTCATCACAATGTCATCATTTCTTTTTGTTATTTTAAGCAGCCTCTTATTAGATGCAAAATACACTAAAATACATTTACAGTGACACCCTCACCATCACGATAGTGTTAACTGCTGCAAGAAATCTTTAATGTTTTGAAATGGGATTGACTCCTAGTGAGCTAGGTTTTAATTCATTTCCAATGTTAAAGAATACGGAAGGAGCCTTAAAGATAGTGTTGACATTCCAAAGGGACGCTGTATTTGTGTTGTGTATTAGATGTGTACCATGGTGTTCTGTCCATGGAGGTGCATTTAATCCCATATCGAAGGAATATTGAAGGTTTGCACCACACGTATAATCTGTGGAAATAATGTATTATATTTATACCACACCACAATGATATACTGACTTGTGATGCAGATACTGATGATACTGCAGCCTACACTGTATGCAGCCAACATGCTCTGAGAATGTATTCAATAAGACAAAATGCTCTGCAGCAGTGACAAAGATACATGTTTAAGTTGAAGTCAACATCACAATAGTAAATAGGTATCTAAGCAAACAAGGAAGCGGCTTTTATTACACTGGACTCTCTGAGAAGAAACATATATGTCATAGTGAGTGAGTGAGTGAGTTAAAATTTAAAGTGACATTGACAATATTTCAGCCATATCGTGACTAAAACTAGTTCAAAATTTATAATACATACAGATAATATATAAAACCCTGTCAACGAAGGACAGTAAAACCACTAGATTATCACAAAATGAGTTAAAACTAGCTAGCATATAACTTTAAAAGTAGAAAACTATTTTTTGACAATACAATGTAAAAATGGGCTAGAAATCGCCAACAACTGAAGGTAGATCACCATACTAGGGACCATGGGGACTTTCAGTGCCTTTGCTACCTGCATGGACCCTAGCTGGATTTACACAATCCCTTCAGCCATTGGCGTTTATACTGAGATTTAGCCAAACATTAAAATGACAAAAATACTACGATTAAAAACCTGGTAGACTTAACTGTACTTGAAATGTTTTGGGACTTACGTACCCTCTCAGGAGGACAATATTTTTACGCTACGTTAACCCCCTTCGAAGGTACAGCCACTCACAAATTCAATTTCTCATTTAAATCACCAATACTAAAAATGCATGTATGTACAAAACATATGAATCAAAATTCATCTATCATTTCTATTTCAAGGGATACACAACGGAGGATCCTCACCTTTCAATAGGTATACATGAGTATATCTTGTGTGGCCATCTTGGGTGTCCCACTTGTTTTGCATTAGATCACGGATGTAAGTTCTAATGCCAGCTCTGTAATCAGAGTATGGAATAAGAAGTGGTGTCACAGATTTGTTGAGTGCTGCCTTTGCAGCAAGATCAGCCATTGTGTTCCCTGAAATGCCAACGTGGCTGGGTAACCAACAAAAGATGATGTCAGATTGGCCAGTTGCAAGATCATTATACAATTCAATTATTTCAATTAAAAGTGGATGTTTACAAGAGAGATTTTTTATAGCCTGAAGGCAAGAAAGAGAGTCAGAAAAGATTATGTATTGTTTATATTTGATGTGTCTATTAATATATTTAAGAGCTGTTAGTATGGCGTATGCTTCTGCTGTATAAATAGAGCTATTATCCGGTAATCGGGAAGATGGTGTTCTGGATCCAATGACAGTGGCACAAGCAACTGCGCCACCATCCTTGGACCCATCTGTAAATAAGGATTTATATGTGTTATATTTATTTCTTAATTGACTAAGTTCTTGTTTATACTGTAAGTCATTTGTTTCTGATTTTTTAAATGTGGTTAATGTTAGGTCGACTTGTGGCCTAACCAACTGCCAAAGAAGAGAAGAAAGCAAACGGGAAGGAGCAATATTTTCCAGCTCAATGCCGGCAGCAGCAATGAATGGTTTAATTCTGAGCCCAAGAGGCGGAACAAGAGAAGACTTTTTGTTGTACAGATCCTCATAGAGAGGATGAAAGACACAGTTATATGCAGGGTTCGACTGATTAGAAGATAGTTTAGCAATATACTGCAAAGATAATTTGATACGGCGTTGGTTTAGAGAAGGCTCGTCAGCTTCAACATAAATACTATCAATAGGAGAAGTTCGGGAAGATCCAAGACAAAGTCGTAGACCTTGGTGATGGACAGAATCAAGTAGTTTCAAATTGCTTTTACAGGCTCCACCATATACGATGGAGCCATAATCAAGTTTTGACCGGATGAGTGATCTGTACAAATGAAGGCGAGTAGTTTGATCCCCTCCCCACTTTGAATTGGACACGACTTTTAATAGATCTAATGCCTTCAGGCATTTAGTCTTCAAATACTTAATATGTGGTAAAAAGGTCAAATGCTTGTCAAAAACCAGTTCCAAAAACTTGGCTTCCTTTACAACGTTAATTGGAGAGCCATCCAAGTACAGTTCGGGATCTTTATGAGGCTTATATTTCCGACAGAAATGTATACATTTGGTCAGAGACCATATACCGAGGGACAGGCCTCAGCAGTACTTTATCATTAACCATCACTGTCGCGATAATGAGTGCGAACGATACCCGTGAACCCCTGCGGTGTTTTCCCTGGCTGTGGTCCAGATGCGTAGCACATGCGCAGATGCTATCAGCACTGGACTTCCGTAGTCAGGCGAAACATATTACGCAATGGTTTAGTGTCAAGAGTTAATTCCCTTCATCCCCGCGCAGACGCACATGTTGACTATTTACACTTCCGGCTTTTCGGTAAACAACGGGTTTTTGCTGTCGGATGTACGTCCCTTTATAAGGGAAAAACGAACATGTTACTTCACCATTATCTTCGATATGGACGACTTTATTCACTGGGACGATTCCGATTTGGATTTAGACTTACTACTTGGCGAATATACAGATTGTGACACTGAACGTCTGAGTGACGAGGATTGCTTTGGCGGTGATGACATGTACTTTGACAGATCTGAAGATGACAAAGCTCCGTCGACCACCTCTCCTAATCATCACGGAAAAGAGAATACATCGCAATATGCTTGTCCACTTTGCAGTAAAACCTACCGGAGTATCGGGGGCTTTCGTGGTCATGTTTCCAAGAAACACAACAGATCAGATATTAAAGGTAAGCATTCAATTTATTCAATGTATCAGAGTATTTATATGTACCATATGAGGTACCGAAAACAATTTCCGATTTGCTTAATCAAATAATGATATGCTAATGTCTTAAGGCATCTTCAATATTTACAAAATTTACACAATTTCAACACATTTCTTCCAACAGTGACACTGATCATAAATTGATCAAACTATACACATTTCTCAGATACGTACATGTAGTTTCATCCCGGTTGTCACCATTAGCATGTGTTCACTTCACATTAGTGAAAACAATAATATATTTGAATGATTTATCTCAGGCCACCATTTCTTACCGGTAATTCCACTATTTCCTTCATATTAACTGTATACCTCAGCAACCGCCATGAGTTAACATACTTTCTCTTAAAGTATATATTGACTATGTGTGGTGAAGTCCAATGAAACTCTCACATTAATGCTATGTCATCAGTCAATATGCATCACTTGAATATGTCAATACTGTTTTTAATTTTAGCACATGAACATCGACTGGGCTCCACTGTCAAAAACACAGACAACCCCCCTTCAGCAGACAGGACGGATACTCACAGTAAAGAGGAAAACACACCAGTTTTCTTGCCAACAGATGTCGACATGCGGGGTATTCTTACAGAAGTCCTACCAAAGTCTTTGTCTACAATAATCCTTGATCCTATGAACGACGCCTCATGTTCATTGAATGGCCCTCATCTTGTTGCTGTTGCAAAAGAATGCAGCGACAGACCAACTGTTCACAGAAATCTGGTATCAGTTCTGAACCCGGAATTCCATTCAGTTTTTGACAAGTTTGGAAAAGGTTGTTCCCTTTCGTCTGACAGAGAACAGTTATGGATGAAATTTCATCAGATGCGACTTAATGAAGGCTTACAGTCAGACATTCACAACATTTTGGTCGAAGTGACAAGTGAATCACACAGGATCATCCACATTTTTGCACAGTGCTTGTTGGATCGCATCTTGAGGAACATGCTAAAGCACCTGTCAGAATCCATTCAAAAACAGTCGCATCAAACAGCATCAGCAATCAGTGACAATGACCAGGCAGTGTTGTACTATATATCGGGATACATACTGCATGCTCTATTGAAGAAAAGGGCTATCTTTGGAATGGATATAGAGCAACACCTTGGAGAACTCTTCTTACTTTCTGATGCAACTTCCAAAGAAGAGTACATTGTCAGGTTTAGTAAGTGGACAGAGAAAATGAACAGAGGGGGTCTAAAATTCCCAAGTGACAATTTCTATCTACTCATAAGGTCTTTTGAAATTGAAATTAGAAAGCATGTTCAACTTTCTAAGTTGTGCGCCTCCTCTCTCTTATGTGATAAACTTAAAGAGACAGTAATGTCAAGCTACATGGTCTCCTACTACTGGGACAAATTACTCTCTTGTGAGGATGGCCTGAAGCTCAGAGTCTTGGAGTTCATTGTGGACTTATTTCTCCGTGTACGTGGAGGTGATGTAGCTAAATACTCAAAACGTCAGCTCCAGAAGGAAATGAGGGGGATTAAGAATCGCAAAGGAGTAAAAAGGAGCAGATCGCTCAGGGGAACATTAAAGGAACATGGGAACACAAACTAGATTGTACTGTGAAAATATTATGTATTTACAATAACTGTTGTAAAATTATTAAACCACCTGATGCTGCATCGCTGTACCACAATTTAACTTTCAATGTCATGTTATGCATCAGTGAATGAATGAACATGTGACCATTTTAATTCAAACGCTTTTGTTTCTTTCTTGGCATAGGGGTGTCATCAACAGTTACCCTGGCTACGGCTGCACCCCTCTTCTGTGAAATATTGCCTCTGATAGGTTGCAGAGCTGATGAACCTATAACTTTCATCTCAGAAATCATGTGCTTAACATTGTACACTGATGGATTGTCATTTGCCCCTCCTTTTTGTCTATACTGGCCAAACTGCTCCTCAAGTGGGTCCTGATTGAATCTATGGGTCAAGACATATTCAGCACCATTAGTTAATAGGTATCTAACACATTCTACAATTGACTTAACAGATATATGGAGTCCTTTCAATGTCTGATGACTGAGCATCATGCGTCTTCTTTCCGCTAATGTCATGTCACCTGGACGCCTCATGACACTCTCCTCCCATGACTTGAAAAAGTCCAAAAAATTGTTTACTAAATAATCCAACCGAGGATCATTAACATCCCTGTATTCCTTCTTGTTTGAATTTCTGGACATAACTCCTTCTCTTAAACTTCTTGTATTTAAACAGTCAAAGAACTTGTCCATGTGTCTTATGAAGTTAACAGTTTCTTTCACTTCGTCTCCATAGTGTTCCTCCAGAGCATTACTTACAGTTGTACTGAACACCTCTGCGGCTAGATTGACTTTCATTGTTGAAAATGATGTCAAATCAATATGGTCCCTTGTAAGTTTGTACGTTTTACAATAAAGTGAGTTCTCCACAAATTGTTCATACAGTCTCACAATCTGCAGCCAGCTTATATCGTAACCATCTTTCCACAGCTGTCTGGACATCTTGTGGGAGCCTGAATTGGCAAAACAATTCCTTGTGGTTTTGAGCAGATGAGGCACATCTGATATGAAATATAATTTCCGTTTTGGATATGAATAAGGATTCCATGTCCAGTAGGTATTACCCAATTGTGGCACATGATGCAATTCAAAAAAATTCCTATTTGGGGTAGCACCATCACACGTGATGAAGATAGGCATCAATCCAATGTTCTCTAGCGTTAGAACTGTTTCCCACAATATAGAGTATAAATATGACGATTCAATGCTTCTTGTAGCAAAAGCTGCATACGGATACCGGAAATCTGCTACAATACCGCGGATCATTATCACTAGCATAGTACGGGCTAACTGGGGTTGTGTGTCCTTCAATGAATCTTCCAATTGTAGCAGTTCATTACCAGTTTTATCAAGGTCCATATATCCAACTAATTCCCCAGATGATCTGTCATATACGAGTCCTTCTGATACTTTCACTTCGTCCTGCAAAATGCCAACATAGGATTTAACATCACTCTCCAGCATGCCAAAGGCCTTTGCTTCCTGCATCAGATGTTTACCATATTCAGGATGGAATCCAAGAATGCTGGGCAAAGAATGGGAATAATCAAATAGGGTTCTCTTGCTTGGCAGTTTTATAAAACCTGTATTCCGTGCAGCGTCATAAGCTTTTCTGCTCTTGCTCCGCAAGTAAAGACACCATTTGATCACCATAGGGTGCCATCTCATGGAACGTTTGTCAGTTAGGTTTGAATACTTCACTTGTTGTTCCCAAAATAATCTTTGCAGAGAGTTTTCATCCGGATAACTTCTTTGTACCTCAGAGCTGTATTCTTTTAGCATGTGTCTCAAGTCCTCATCGCTTGTAGTATTTAGTTTTAGTCCTTTATTCCCAAATGTATGAAACACTTTTCTTTTCAGTTGACCTAATTCACTCTTAAGTGCCTGATTGTGAGTTTTAACAGCTTGAAATTTGTTCACAAGTTCCATTTTTGTCATGTGCTTATGTGTCTTATGAGACAGTTTGTGAGGGTGTGGCTGACATGGTTTAGGAGATAGGCTATTGCGTGACAGTACTTTCCTGAGAGTAGAACGGTACCTACAACAATGTTCGCATCTCGTTTTCCCAAAAGCTAGCAGGGCACAACGTGCTGACCGGATGGTTGAGCTAAATTCAATGCCGTTGATGTTTACACCAAAGTCACATTCTCTATATGCTGATATGCCTGGACCAGCAGTCTGACTCAACCCAACACCTATCGGAACAAGATGGCTGTATTTGTCTTCATAATTTCCGAGGCAGACATGGTAAGAGGACAACTTTGACAGCAGTTTCTTGACATCTTTGAGAGTTGAAAAGAACTTGGGCAAACCAATCCAAAAATCATGATCATGTCCAATTTTCTGTCTGTGAACAGAGATAGATGCCATCAGTGATGGTGTGATTGTCACTGCCAGTTTTACAGCTAAGTCAGAACCCTCATAAAACTGAGCTAATTTTATCACATCCTCTTTTGTCCGGATAATTGTGAAGTCTCCAAGTTGGTCATACTCTTCAAATAAAGTATTTTTCAAACATGAGTATTGTTGGTATCTTCTGTGATGAAGTATGCCAGTGACAACGTCGTCCAGATTGTCATCAGGGTTGTACTGGTGCATCTTGCCGACAAGGACATAAAACGCATCTGCAGAGCAGTTGTCAGAATCTGTTGATGCACCATGACTGTGAGATTCACTTGCAACTGCTTCTTGGTGGTGTTCAGCAGCACCGATGTGAAAAGCTGCCCAAGCTTCAGCCCACTGTAGTTGTCTAACACTGAAACAAAAATTAAGATATTAAAATATAATCATACTACTCAATTTATAAAGATTTCCAAACAACAAACATTTTTGCATATTCATGGATGTCATACAACATTTACCTGTGAAGGTCCGGGTTAGAATATTGGCCATGCTTGTCGTAAGAGGTGATTATTTTTCAGACCGCTGCCATGTAGCTTGAATATTGCTGCGTGCGGCGTAAAACTAAACTCACACTACACAATATTTAATCAAGTCTTTGTTAAGATTACTGATATTTGGTTGAAGTACAATCACTGTGCATTATCTAATTCATAATGAATGTCATGCATACAGTACTTACATATTGTCATCCAATATTCCTGGTAGACATGTTGTGTTGTCATGAAGTGTGGTCGGTGAAGCTGCATCCCTTATAGTTGATTGCTGATCCACACTTTTAGACTTAGTGCCAGAACGCTTAGATCGCCTTCCAATGCATCCTTTTTTGTATCGTGGCATCTAAAAGAACAATTAATCAAATGTAAGCTAAACATATACTTCTACTTTACATGATCACACCCAGTGTTTTCACTTAATGTCAGTACAAGGAAAAATTTAGTATACAGGACATACATTTACAGTACAGTGACGCAAACTGTGACAAGGGGGAATAATATGAAAATATGGAAGTAAATAATACGGTAATTAATTTGAAGCCCGGACAATATTCATTCAAATTTGTTTTGATATTGAAAATCGCTGATTTTAACTAAAGGACAATTGCTAAGCGACATCCTAAAACGTTTCAGCGTGGGCTAGTGTTTTTCACATCATCGCACAAAACCCATCATAAGATAAAAGCATATTATTTTTCATATCAATGCATACAGAAAAGAGTGCTGAATGCAAAAATATAAGTGACATTCTCATGGAGCGATTTATTACTAAAACCAGCGTACCACAAGATATAGCATAATCAGGTGTTTTCAGTATGACGAAATAACAGGGTTGCAATTACAGATACACTTTCATTGCCGATTTTAACAGAATACAAAAACAAACTACGAAATAATGTACACTGCGTGAAAAAACAATAACCGATCGTCCAATACAACCCAGTAACTAAGGACTTTGCTGACGTTTCACTTGACAAGATGTTCTGGAAAAATGTCTATTTTCCACGATTTCGCCGAAGGAAGCCATTTTATTTGACCACAACAAAGGGGATCACCACAGTGCATGGTATATTCCTTTCGAAGATACTATGTGCTCCATACATTTGTGAGATACTTACAATAAATGGTTGTCATCTCTTACAAAATCAAATGAAAGTAGTTTAACTTACCGTGGATGATACAGATGAAGGTAAAAACACCGATGTGAGCCTTCGAATCTCGCAGATCTCGCAAAGCCTCGCGGTAATGATCGCTTTGTCTCGCGCGGCAGTGATCACTTCCTAATTAGCTCTGAGGCCCGTCCCTCGGTATATGGTCTCTGATTTGGTCTTTATCTGTTAAAATTTAAAGCCATTCTCAAGTGACCATTTATGAATTATATTTAAACACATCTGTAATTGTCTCTCGATGGTATGCATATTTTTACCACGACATGAAAAGTTAAAATCATCCACAAACAATGACCCATCTATTGAGTCATTTAATACTTTTGAGAGACTATTGATTTTTATGCTAAACAATGTAACGGACAAAATACTGCCTTGTGGAACCCCCTGATCCTGATTATAATGGTCAGACAGGGTTGATTCAACACGCACTTGAAAGTGCCTGTCAGCTAAAAACTGTGATATAAAATGAGGCAAATGGCCTCTCAAACCAAAGTCATGTAAATCTCTTAAAATACCATGTTTCCATGTTGTATCATAAGCTTTCTCTAGGTCAAAAAAAGATTGATACAGTATGCTGGTTATTTACAATGGAATTTTTAACGAATGATTCTAGTCGAACCAAATGGTCGATAGAGCTTCTATTTTTACGAAAACCACATTGAATGTTAGTAATTAGATTATTGGATTCTAGAAACCACACTAATCTATTATTGACCATGCGTTCCATGGTCTTGCAAACGCAGCTAGTTAATGAAATAGGTCTGTAGTTTGATGGATCTGTATGATCCCGGCCAGGCTTAGGTATTGGTACAACAATGGCATGACGCCACGAAGGAGGAAAATGCCCTGTCGTCCAAATATTATCAAAAATGTTCAGAAGTATACAAGACAAGCATTAGGTAAAAAAAGCTGATAGTGGATATTATCAGCACCTGTTGCCGTATCATGAGCTTGCGTTAATGCAGTATTCAGCTCATGTAGTTAAAATACCTCATTATAATCTTCACCATTATCAGAATGAAAGTTAATTTTAAGTTTTTCTTGATTATCTTTATATTTCTGAAACTTTGGATTGTAGTTGGATGAAGAAGAATGTCTAGCTAAAGTTTCACCCAACTTGTTTGCAATGTCAATTTTATCAGTTAACAGATCGTGGCCATCTTTCAGATCATGAACACTAGAACTTCTACCTTTGCCCTTGATTCTCTGTATCATGTTCCATACCTTCGTCATTGGTGTACGTGAATTAATCTTTGATACAAAGTTCTTCCAGGACTGACGTTAACTTTGTTTAAAAGTACGTCGAGCCTTGGCATTATTCATTTTTAAATTATTGAAATTGTGGACTGTAGGATTGCGGCGAAAGTATTTCTCTGCCTTCTTCCTACACTTCCTAGCTTGTTTTCAATCGTCAGTAAACCATGGTTTACGAATGTGTGGCTTAGCAGAAGCCTTAGGAATAGTTTCATCGGCAATATTATTCAGTTTATCAGAGAACAGCTGAATCGAATCTGGAGCATTGACAAACAATTCTGATTTCAAGTTGTCAGCACATAGTGTCTGAAATAATGGCCAGTTGGCCTTATTAAAATTCCACCTTGTTGCAGGTGGGTCATCAGTCGGGATTATAGCTGAAAGTATTGTGGGAAAATGGTAACTTCCACACAGGTCATCATGAACTGACCATTCGAATTCGTTATAAATACTTGGATCTGTGAGCGACAGATCGAGTGCAGAATAAGTTCCCGAACCAGGGTGTAAATATGTGACAGATCCATCATTAAATATACATAAATTATTGTTTGTAATGAAGTCCTCAAGAATTTTTCCTTTATTGTTGGTATCGGTACTTCCCCACAAAGGGTTATGTCCGTTAAGATCACCCATGATTATAAATGGTTGTGGAAGCTGTTCAAAAAGATCCTGGAGGTCAGACTGCTGAAGAATTGAAGACGGAGAAATATATAAAGAACAAAGTGTAAAGGTTATCTGTAAAGTAAGACGGACAGCAACAGCTTGAAGATTGCTTTTAAGAGTAACCGGGCTATGGATAACACCCTGCCTCACTAGAATAGAAGCGCCGCCAGTTGCTTTATCACCTGGAGGGGAGAATGAATGAAAAGAATTGTATTGACGCAATTCAAATTTATCAGTACTTTTCAGGTACGTCTCTTGTAAACTAAAAGCCGATGGTTTAATATCTTGCGATAGTAGTTGTAGATCATTAAAATTGTTCCTAAGGCCTCTGCAAATTCCATTGTAGTAATTTCATAAAACAAATTTAAGGAGGTTCAACTGGAGATCGTGAGCGCATGGAAGTGCAACTCCTACACCCTGTATGTGAGTGAGTGATCTCCATATCAAGTGGTTCAAATGGATTTTGAACCGTCACAGGAGGTGTCGACGAAGGAGACTCTTCCAAATGTTGAAGAGCTCTGGTCTTTCTTCTCAATTTGTTCTTTTCCTTATTCGACAGGTGGACAACGCTCTCTGTTGCCTGTGTTGAATTAATATCATCTGGCTGTGATTCCTCAGTCTGGGATGCTGATGAGCGTTGACAATCTCGTGATATTGAAGTATTGTCACTCAAGTTCATCTGAGTTGCATTTACCAAGGGAAGTCAGTCTGACAGGAAGTTGAAACTGTTTTTTTAATAGATGGCGAAACAGAAGAAGAAACTGTGGCCGAATATGTTTGACCAATAGAAGATTTTGACTGAGCGTTAACTAATTTCTTTGCCTCAAAGTACGAGATGTTATTCATGCATTTGATTTTAAGAACTTGGCTTTCATAGTCAAACTTTGGGCAAGATTTAGACGAAGCCAGATGTTCATCACTGCAATTTGCGCACTTGATGTTACCAGTGCAATCGGTACTGTCATGGGTTCCACTGCAGCGTGAGCAGATAGACTTGCCAGTACATGATCTTGCACCATGGCCAAACTTTTGGCGTTTATAACACCGGAGTGTATTTGGTACATAAACCTCCACTCCGAAATTACAGTATCCAGCCTTAATAAATTGAGGAAGCATAGTCAGACCAAAAGTGAAGAGGTAAGTGTTTGTTATTATCACTTTTGAATCCTGTTGAAACGCTTCACAGAAATAACACCTTGATCCGTCAACTCTGCCACAATATCTTCTTTAGACATGTCTGATAAACAACGCGACCTGTCTCTAACAATACCTCTACAAGTGTTCAGTGTCTTGTGAACCGAGACAACGACATGTTTATTCACAAACTGCTGCGATCCTAGCAGATTCACAGATTGCTGTCGTCGTATACATTCTACCAAAAGAGAACCGTTTCGGAGGCGAGTGACATTCTTTACCTCTCCGCAGACACATTGGATGCCCTTGGAGACGGCAAAAGGATTAATATTCAATGGACTTCCATCATCAGTAGAAATAACCAAAAATCTTGGCAAAGAATCTTTCATGAAAGGGGATACTTCTTCGTCAGATGATGAAGAAAGATGTCTCCGCTTATTTGTCCTTGATGAACCAGATTGAGTGTTTTTAGCCATGGTGTAATAATATAATTCAGCAACCCTGCCCCCCACCCGCCATCGAGTGTCAACAAGGACGGTATCGCAGTGGAAACCAGACAGCAATACCAGGGTTACAGGGATGCCATACTCCAGAAAATACAGACTTGAAAAGCCATGATATCTTAAAGAATAAGTGCCAAGCTGGTTCGGCCCATGACGCTTTTCTAAAGAACACGGAATTCAGAGGTCTATATAACCAGATTGGCCCATGAGCCACCGCCTTCTGGCATAGGACTCTAGGCAATTAGATACATTCATAATTTATGCACTGAAAGTTTAAACGACCAAATACCCAATAATAGAAATGTGCAAAAATATTCACCATGCACAGGGCTTGGCGTGACCAGCCGATTGATTGGACCGGGCCAGTTCAACCACCCGTCTAGGTGAAGTAAGGGGCGAAGTGGTGTGTTGGGCAAAGGAACACTGTTCCTGGAACCAGTGCCCTCAACCACCAGCCTCTCGTCCTCCACCGACACAGGGGAGCAACCCACGGCCAACAGGTTGGTGGACCAAATATACCCCCGGGTCCACAACGGGGGGTCGAAGAGCGCCTAGCGTTACCCAGCACCCACCACGAGGAGGTGGCTCTTCACGGGTGCCTATATGTCATAGGGATCGGTGACATGTATGTAAGTCTGTATGTAACTTTGTTTTTTTGGTACTCTTTTAACCATTACACACGAACGATTTGTGGTTAGACTTATGCGGAACACCAAATTCTTAAAAAACGTGTGGTTAATTAATACCGAGCGATTTAAAGTTGCCAAAAAGTCGCCTGCTTCACTCTCGCCCACCAACGAAACCACAGACAGGTTACGTAACTCTGTCGCCAGAGCACTGCAGTGACGTCATATGAGAAAGGATTTTCAGTAAGTTGTATATAAAGAGTGTAGCAAGCTCGTCATTTTGATGATTTCTCGAAATCAACGAAGACATGCCGAATCGTTGCGTTGTCGTCAATTGCTCCTAGGGATCGGGCGATGGTGTCACCATGCACAGATTTCCACAGGACCCCGCATTGGCCATCAATCAAATACATATTTTACTACCAGTAGAAAGTAGTCTTGATTTTGTAACTCGGTCTAATATACGAAAAAGTGATCTATCGTTTCAGGTATTTCACACTGGTGTATAGTCTCATTGGTCACCCAAGATAGCACACCTGGCTACTATCTCCTACGTAGGACTTAATTGCATATCTCCTACGTAGGACTACAGTATCTCCTACGTAGGACTTACTATCTCCTACGTAGGACTTAGTATCTCCGTTACTTAGTATCTCCTACGTAGGACTTAGTATCTCCTACGTAGGACTTAGTATCTCCTACGTAGGACTTAGTATCTCCTACGTAGGACTTAGTATCTCCTACGTAGGACTTAGTATCTCCTACGTAGGACTTACTATCTCCTACGTAGGGCATACTATCTCCTACGTAGTACTTAATATATCCTTTTAAGGATGGTTATTAAGTTGAGAAATGTTTGGCTATGCAGGACGTTAGATAGTCGAAATGTGAGTCAGTGAATATTCATGACACTAACGCAGTGTTACTATACAGTGTTATTGTGTGTGTATTACGTTAGGGTGACGT